GACATGAAATATAATCCGTTAGAATTATGTATGATATGAGAACTAAAAAATGAGAAATAATATGATAGGAATGATAAACGATATAAAAGACGATATGATATGTACAAAACACTCAGAGGGTTGTATTAAATGATAATGAAAATGGAAAAATATTGGGACCTCATACATTATGTGTGCAGGGATACCCCTATTCCATCACGAGGTACGACGCCTACACCACTAGATTGTTTGTGTTAGATTTGATTTAGTTATCTGAATTAGATTTGATTTAGTTATTTGATTTAGATTTCCTTGTTTTTAATGTATTCTGTAACACTATATAATAGCCAATTTCATTCCTCTCATCTTTTTAGATTTATCTCTCTTCCCGACATGTGGTATCAGAGCCATGCCCTAAACTTACTTGGCCAAATTAAAACTAGAAGCAGTAATCTTATACGTGTCATAATAAAAGTATGTCGATAGAGAGTTTATTTGTGCAGCCTGCAATTCCGTAATTTGATGGGTATTATGATCATTGAGCGATGCTCATGGAAAACTTTTTGCGTTCAAAAGAATACTGGGGTTTAGTGGAGAATGAGATTCCTGCATCAAAGAAGATATCGTTTTCACAGATGCCCAAAAGAAGCACATTGAAGATCAGAAGTTGAAAGATTTGAAAGCAAAGAAGTATCTATTTCAAGCATTAGATCGTTCGATCTTGGAGACAATCCTCAATAAGGATAAAGCAAAAAAAAAAAAAAAACATACGGGACTCTATGAAGCAGAAATATCAAGGTTCAACACGGGTAAAGTTTGTGCACATTTGCAAGCTCTTCAGAAGGAGTTTGAAATGCTTCACATGAAGGTAGGAGAATCTTGTGGAAGAGTATTTTGCTCGGACCCTTAGCATAGCCAACAAGATGAAACTAAATGGTGAGAACAAAGGAGATGTTGAAGTAGTTGAAAAGATTCTTAGATATATGACTCCCAAGTTCGATTATATTGAGTGTTCCATTGAGGAGTCCAAGGATACAACCATCTTAACCATTGATGAGTTGCAAAGCAGCCTGCTTGTGCATGAACAACGCATGAGTTCTCATGTTGAAGAAGAACACGCTTTGAAGATCACTCATGATGAACAATCTGGAGGAAGGGGTCAAGGGCGTGGAAGTTTTAGAGGCAGAGGAAGGTGGAGGAAGGGGTCAAGGGTGTGGAAGTTTTAGAGGCAGAAGAAGGGGACAAGGCAGACAAACCTTCAACAGGGCCACAGTAGAGTGCTATAATTGTCACAAGATAGAACATTTTCAATGGGAATGACAAAGCAAGGAGAAGGAGGCAAACTATGCAGAGACTCAAGAACATATGTTGCTGATGACTTACGTGAATATGAATAAGGCTAATAGAGAAGATATGTGGTTCCTTGACTCGGGATGTAGCAATCATATGTGTGGGAAGAAGGAATATTTTTTAGATTTTGATGGAAGTTTCAGAAATTCAGTGAAGCTGGGCAACAACTCAAGTATGGTTTTAACAGGAAAGGGTAATGTATGGCTGCAAGTGAATGGAATCATACTGATAATCACAGGAGTGTTCTATGTGCCAGAGCTGAAGAACAATTTGTTGAGTATTGGGAAATTGCAAGTAAATGGGCTTACCATTTTGTTTCAAAATGAAACGTGCAAGGTGTTTCATCCTGATAGAGGCTTAATCATGGAGACAAAGATGTCTTTGAATCGAATGTTCGTACTGCATGCTATATCTCAGCCTGTAGCATCCACTTGTTTCAATACAATCACAGAAGATATTAAGCAACTTTGGCACATTGTAGATATGGACATTTGGGCTTTAAAGGGATTAAAGACTCTTCGGCAAAAGAAGATGGTGGATGGTTTACCACAGCTCAAGTCTCCATTGAGACTGTGTAAAAATTGTCTGGTGGGTAAGCAACAAAGGCACTCATTTCCAAAAAGGAGCACATGGCGAGCTTCAAAAATTCTCCAATTGGTGCATGCTAATATTTGTGGGCTGATCAAACTCATCTCAAACAGCAAGAAAAGGTACTTGATTACTTTCAGAGATGACTTCAGCAAAAAAATATGGATTTATTTCTTAACAGAAAAATCAGAAGTCTTTGCTATATTTAAAAACTCATTTATTAAAGCCTTAAGAACTGATTGAGGAGAGTTCACTATCACAAGAATTCACCAATTTTTGTGATGTAAATGGTATACAAAGACAATTGATAGCTGCATACACGCCACAGCAGAATGGAGTTGTGGAACGAAAAGAAATAGAACTATTATGAATATGGTTCATAGTATGATTTCAGAAAAGAAAATTCCGAAAATTTTCTGGCCTGAAGCAATCAACTGGACTATGCGTGTACTAAATCGAAGTCCAGCATTGGCTGTCAAAATAAAACTCCAGAAGAAGCTTGGAGTGGAGTCAAACCTTCAGTTGGGCATTTTAGAGTTTTTGGATGTATCTCTCATGTTCATATGCCTGACAGTAAAAGAACTAAGTTGGATGATAAGAGTTTGAGTTGTGTTTTGCTAGGAGTTAGTGAAAAGTCAAAGGCTTACAAACTCTATGATCCAATTTCACAAAAGATCATAATAAGTAGGGATGTTGTATTCGAGGAAGATAAGTGTTGGGACTGGGATAAGACCTATGAAGAATCTATTATGTGCGATCTGGAATGGGGTGATCAAGAGGAGACAGCAGATGTGTGTGATGAAAATGAAGAAGGGAGCGAATCTGATATAGAAGCTGCAGAGGAAAATATAGCAGAGAAGAATATTTCATCTGGCTCTTTGGCTGAAGCAAGCTCTCCTAGCTCGAATGAGGGGAGGAATAGAAGATCACTAGTCTAGATGAGAAACTATGCAACAGGCGAAGATCTTTCTGAAGAAGATAATGAAGCTCACTTGACCATGTCTACCACTACTAATCCTGTAAACTTTGAAGACACATTGAAGAGTGAGAAATAGGGGCAAGCCATAGATCTGGAAATGGAAGCAATAAACAAGAATGACACATGGGAATTGATGAAGTTACCTGAAGGCGGAAAGAAGGTTGGAGTAAAATGGATTTATAAGACGAAATCCAATGAAAATGGGGAAGTCGACAAATACAAGCCTAGGCTTGTAGCAAAGGGATATACTCAACAACATGGGGTAGACTATACTGAAGTATTTACACCTGTTGTGCGCATAGAGACAATTCGTTTGGTGGTAGCACTTGTAGCTCAAAGAGGCTGGTCCATCTATTTGGACGTGAAATCTGCATTTTTTATGGTGATTTGAATGAAGAGGTATTTGTGGAGCAACCCTGTGGATATGTGCAAAAGGGACATGAGTAGAAGGTTTACAAGTTAAAGAAGGCACTCTATGAACTTAAGCAAGCTCCGCGTGCTTGGTACAGTCATATAGAAGCCTATTTTATAAAGGAAGGTTTTGAGAAGTGTGACTATGAGCATACTTTGTTCATCAAGAGAGGAAAAGAAGCCAAAGTATTAATTGTAAGTCTCTATGTCGATGATCTCATGTTTACTGGAAATGATGAATTAATGTTTATAGAGTTTAAAAATTCCATGAAAAGAGTTTGACATGACACATCTTAGTAAGATGAGGTATTTTCTTGGCCTTGAAGTCTTACAAAAAATCTAGTGTTATTTTTATAAGTCAAAAGAAGTCTGCTTTGGAATTGCTGAAATGGTTTGAATGGACAAAAATAATTCTGTTCATAATCCTATTGTTTCTGGATGCAAACTTATGAAAGATGAAGATGGAATAAACGTGGATAAAACTTACTATAAACAAGTTGTAGGCAGTCTTAATTATCTTACAGCAACTCGACCAGACATAATGTTTGTAGTGAGTTTGATTAGTAGATATACGGAGAATTTCACCGAGCTTCATTTACAGGCAGCAAAAAGGGTACTACGTTATTTGAATGGAACAACTGAGCTTGGAATTTTCTATCAGAAAGGAGGAGATGATGATTTTGTTTCATATAGAAACAGTGATTACGCTGGAGATTTGGATGAGAGAGAGTACTTCAGGCAATGTGTTCTTATTGAGTTCTGGAGCAGTATCATGATCATCAAAGAAACAACCAATAGTAAGTCTATCTTCCACGGAGGCAGAATTCATAGCTACAGCCTCATGTACATGGTGACACAATTGCACTTTCGAAGGCAGCGGACTAGCGATTGTGCGGCACTCACTTTCCAACGACAAGTGAGCTAAGCCAATTTGTTCTTGTGTCGCCTACGGCCAAGCGACGTATGATCGAGCCTCTAGCCTCGGTTTTAAAAGAATGTTTTAGAAAACGAGGAGAGAGAGAGAGATTTTAGAAAGAGAGATTTTTGAAAGAGACGTTATATAAGCAAGCAAGAGAAAGATAACAACGGCTTAGCATATATAACCTTGGGTAGGGAGAAGTTGACAACTAGTCATATCCCCCTATAGTACATTCTGAGGCATTTCATGTCTGGCAGGCCTAGACATATATTTTTGAGGTATCATACGCCCTAGAACTACAAGAGGAAAAACACTAGAATGGAAAGACATGACAAGGGTTTGGCTTGTCGTGGGCATGCGGCCATGGGCAACACGCCCTGGACGAGCATGACCGTGACACATGGCAGGCAATATAGTTAAAAATGGTGTTGGAAAAGCTAGGTTAAAATCAAGACAAGTCAACTATTATTCATTGTGATAATAGCTCTGCCATCAAGCTTTCAAAAAACTCAGTAATGCACGATCGGAATAAGCACATAGATGTGCGTTTCTATTTCCTTCTAGAGCTCACAAAAGCTGGCACTATAGAGTTGGTGCATTGTGGCACACCCGGAAAAAAAGTACAGCATCCTATTTTTGAAGATTGTTCAACTAAGAATTTCAAAGATATTGTATAGATTCCCATACCCGTTGGAATATTCCACCTACCACAAAATCAATATTCCTCATTTTATTTCTTAAAATTTCGACCACAAAATAGACTATATATATATACACACGCACGTATTTGCATTGGTTTAAATTAAAACACAGTTAAACTTCATTGATTTGCACGATTGAGAGAACAAAAATGGTGCATTTTGATGAACTCATCTCTTCCTCTTGCTTTGCCTCACCATTTCATCTTCTTCCCCAACCTCCAACTTAACCCCAAATAGTTTCAAGTTTGGCTTCATTACCATCATTTCATCTTCCTTCTTATCATACCCATTAATCCCCAATTCGTACTTTCCTATCAAATCAATAAGCTCTCTGCATTTCCTCTTCATGTTCTTCACCTCAAACCTCAACGCTCCCTTCTCCTTCTTCAGCCTCTTGTTTTCGTCAACAAGTGTCGCGTAATGGTCGGTTGACGATGAAGTCGACCAGGACCATTCATCTTCGTCGAGATCATCTCGATGTGTGGCCTCGATTGCTTTTGCATTACTCTTGTGTTTTCTCCTACGTATTTCGTAGAGTCTTTCTTTACCTCCCTTTTGAAACTTGTCATTGTAAAACTCCCATCGACTTGTCGCAATCTTGCGAAATCCCTATCAAAGTTTCGTTGTAAGGTTCAATTCTCCGTCAAACTTAAGCTAATGGGTTATGATAAATTTCATGTTATATCGACTTACATATGTGTTTAGTTGGCGAACAAAGCTAGAGAAGTTGCTATGTTTGAAGAGGGTAGGGAGGAGATCTCTAGCAAACTCCGGGGGATGCCACACTACGAGCGCCGTCCCATCGTCGTTCCAGGAGATGACATCATCGGTGGTCGGATCCTCGACCAACAGGTAGGTTTTGGCCAAGAAGGGCGGCGGAGAGGGCTTTGGCTTTTGACACACATCACCTAGGCCTATAGCTGGCTGCTCCCCCATGAGAGAAATGAAGTGGAAGCAGAAAGGAAGAAGAAGATATAGAAATTAGAAGGATTTAGGAGGAAAGGAAGAGAAAAGAAGAGAAAAGAAGAAGGGCGGTTAAGAACTCCCAATCCCAACAATAGAAACCCAACACGACTCCACAGCTCATGAGAAATGCAACACCTTAACTTACATCCCACGAACACTATAAAAACTTCTTATATTATACTACTCACACCATTCATGGCTTCCCATTCATTTTACAATTTCTTTTTTTAATTGTTTGCACAATTACTTATTTTATTTTATAATTATAGCTTTTATTTTTGTTAAATTAAAATAGGTATGATATAACATGTTATAAGTTAATGAACGTTATAATTTATTGTTAAGAATAAAGCTTTAATACCATGTTAAGAATGATGCTCGGGTAGTTTTCCATCTTCTCCTACTTTGATATTCTTCCTCTTCTCCAAGATTGGTAATTTGTCTAATTTAATTTGATTGGAACAAGTGAATATCTTATTTGATCACTTCTTGGTCCATGCATAAATGATATACTCCAGGATTGTTAATTTGTCTCATTTAATTTGATTAGAACAAGGTGAATATCTTGGATTAGAGAGTGATATAATAAGGATGTGTTAAATAAATATCCGAAGTTTTGAAGTTGGATAAGAACACCAAGATCGATGCTCTGATTCGATCTATGACACTTTTCTTCTGTTTGCCCCATTCTTGAAGTAGGTTATTAGTACGATTTTGAAGGTACGTGGAATCATGTTTAAAAAATAACTTAAAAAATCTATAGTATTTGAATAAAGTTGAGTGTTTAGTTCTCGTAATATTATTAGGATTTACTTCGTAATAGTTTGAAATGATTTTGGTTTAAATCGTTTATTTGGAGATACGTGAGTGAATAAATATTTTACATGATAGATCATTTTCGTATCAATTATATATCTAATTTCTTCTCATAAATTTGTTAACTTAGAAAACAAATATTTCACAAAATGATCACGTACAATATTACCTTAAGTTTAAGTAAGTTATGAACTTCTTTGTGCTAGAGTAGTTTCCTAAATGTTAATTTCGAGATTTGAAAAATAGGTCTCACCATCTCACTCATCCGATAGGGTCTTAGTTTATAACTAGATCATAAACGTTTGTTCTTAGAAGATCAATGATGTTTAAGATGTAAGATGTAATCATATGAGGTTATTTGACCCAACTACAATTACGAACACTTTAGAATATAGTAATCATATTCATATAAGTAAGTTGTTCTTTAGTGCACACGAATGAAACTGTGAAACTAATCTAAAGTTAATAAATAAAAATTAATTAATTTATTCATTTAGTACCACTAGGTTTATAAAAGGTCTCCTTCGAATATGAAAATGGATTCATTTCATTGAAGAAAATATATGAAATGTTCAATTTAATATTTAATAAGGTAAATGACATTTTCATAATAATTTAAAACTCAAGTATAGTAACCCTCGCGTATTACAGCTACCCTGTAAAACAATGTAAGTATTATGGAGAAAAGAGAACATCTTCCCCATCAAAATCTCCACTCATAACCAATTAAATTGAATACCAATCAATCTTACATTTAAAGCTATATTTGAAAGAAAAAAAGAATCCAATAACATTACAATATAAGCAAAGGTACACCCGGATTTGCCCAAGCAAAACTCAACAACACATGTATACTTTTCTATTTTGAGACAACGGTTTGAACATCCGCCCATCACTTAAGACGTTTAGAAGATGGCATTGAAGTTCCTCTTCTCCTGTAAACAATCCTACAACAAGGACCTGCTTTGCTCATATGCATTTCCTATCTGTTTCAAAACTGCAGCACCCTGGCGTGCTATGTGTCTTCCAGTTCGTAACAACAGTTTTTCTTCCCTTTTCGAGATACCCAACTAATACGATCCCCGATCATCTAGAACTCTTGTGATAAAATTTTGAAGCTTTAACAGGCTTACCAAATCTTTCTTTCTGATGCTTCTTTCCAGATTTGTTTCCTCTCTGTTGAGCTTTTCTAGGAGCATCATGCCTCGAAAAATCTGCTCTACGACTGTCTCCGAAACCATCCATAGTCGAACTCCTCTTACTACTGGAGATTGCAGCTCTTTTTATCATCTTAGATCTATCACCATCTTCAGTGAATACAATATCATTTTTTCTCCCGATGAAACCAGAAGATTTTTCCCACTTCCTTTTCCTGTATTGACCAGCTACATTTTTCTTGGGCGCAGTCTCCAGCCCGTCATGTTGCTTATCTCTTACCCTGACAATTGAGAAGCAAGAATGGACGTAATAAGCACATGTACATAAAACATACGGAAACAAGTTGGGCATGAAACAAATGAATCAGACCCATTAGAAGGTGAATCTGCAACATCTGTATTAGCATCTTCAGCATCCTTGGAACTGGTCTTATTATGGCGTTTCTGCAATTAAACGATCATGGATAGATGTTTAGAGGTAATTCAGAAGTTCGCACCTAAAGTATTATCTCTTTTACTCTTCCAAAAAAATACATTTGATAGGCAAATACTGATAAAAAAAGGGAAAGGCAATGTTTCCAAACATTCTTCTATCCTATGATATTTATTTACGCACAACCGTGAACTATTGAAGTACGAATTGATAGGAACATGACATAGTTTCAATTTCATATATAGAAAAACTAAATTAAAATAAAATAGAAGTGCCCTTCCAATTACGAATGTTAGTCTAGTGAATAGGCGACCAACTACAAGAGATTATCCAATGATGCCCATGAATCCGAGACGGAGAACTTTTATTCAGATTAAAACTGCAGTTAGAAATGTTCACACTAAACAACATGGGCTGAAGCAAATCACCTCGAAAAGAGACTTGATGAAACCCTTGTATTTGTCCGGACTAACACCCTCAATTGCAGCATAACCACATTTCCGTAAGAGAATCTCCAGAATTACTGTGACCTTTTAAGTAAAATGAACATGTGGATGAAGACATTGCAAGGATAATTAACAATTATGAGTGTCTGGAGAGGACAGAAGGAGAAACTTGATAGACTGTATAGTTATTCGTATAAATATTAATTCCAAAAATAAGTTTCTATTGCTATATTTAAAGGTCACCTTTGATCGAAAATGATGCCTTGAGACAGATGACCAAGGTAGCGCTGCTAAAAGAATATCAGAAACGATGCTCTGAAGATCTTTAGCTTGCAAGGAAGAAACCAGAACTTTCACAAACCCTAGCACTGCCTATTTAATGGATAAGAACAACTTGTTATGGCGGACATTAATATGGAAATAAAATTAGAACCCAAAGCTAAGATACATACCTTTATAACTTCTATAGCCTTTCCTTGTAGCAAAGATAAGAGGGAGGGCACAAGATCAGGGATTGAAAGACATATATCTGCGTCTTCATAGACCAGCACTGAGAGTGCAGAGATCGCTCCACTCTTTACATGAGGAGATGCACCAGACAGATAGCCTAATATCTGAATATGAAAATGCAGCCACAGCTCATGAGCAAAGGAAGCATTAAAATGAAACACTTACAGTGACAGAATCAACCATAAAAGGAAAAAAAAAAAAAAAAAAAAAAAAAAAAAAAAAAA